ACATTTACTTATTCCAGTTATTGTGAAACTATTCCACAAGAACTATTCCAGTTGTTGTGAAAGCTCTTCATAGTTCAAGAGCCTTCTCTTAGGAACAGTTTTTTTGGTGATGAAGGCCACACACTGAGACAGAATTTAAAGATGCCCATTCAACATTGAATAACTTTTGGAAATTAACTTCTAGGTTCCTTCAGAAATACTCTGATTGCATGCAGCAGAACTATTTCTGTGGATAGAATCAATAAATTGAAAGAATCGTGGCTTTCACTTCACAATTGCACATTCCTCAAAGCCATGACATAAATATAAACACAGAGGATTATTATCCCACTCAGAAGTGCAGTCCACATCACTTGGATCAGTCTCAGTTGATAATTGTGTAGCCTTTGTCTTCACTCAAGATTGTGTTTGACCCTGTGTCTTCAGCCACCTCCACTCAGCATTTCCTTCTTTCCCAGCTAAAAGCTCCTGACAGACTAATCCTAATCACCAACATGTCTGGAAAAAACTCTGTTCAGTTTACTGGAGATTTAGTGGATCACTGCTTTTGTAAATAGCATTTAGGCAGTGGTAAGGAAACAATAAACCTCTTGCATTTTGGAACCACTGGGGTTTGAAGACTCTTGCATGTGTGGCCATGGAAAGAAAAGAGATGGTCAACATAATTCCCCTTCCATTTTTCTTTTACTCCTTTATCAAGAAACTTGCCATCATCATACTCTACACGCAAGCAAATTTGGTCTGTTGTCAGGAAAAGAATGAGGATGAGAGAGGAGTCCTGCCAGCGGGAATTTCTCAGCACTGGTTTCCTGCATAGCAGTCAGCTTTTTTTATAAATAGAACCTCATTTCATGCAATGATATAATATTAATTTGTCACCATATTTGGCACAACCATAGGACCGTGAGCTACTTGTTTGCTAATTACCATTTGAGCTCATGCACAGAGCACAGGCTGTGATAATATTAGCTTGGTCAGAGTCACAAGTCTGTCAGTGCCAGCAACAATTCAGTGCCTGTTTCCAATCTCTGAAAGTGTTGTATCTGCATCCTTTCATCCCACGGGGTAAAAACCCTGGGCTCTCTCTCCTAGTATGAATAATTTGTCTTGTCACTCACAGCCCTAGAGGAAAACTATGTGACAGTTCCTGTTAGCTGTTCACATGAGAAAAGACTGTTTAAGCAGAAAAGTAAATATATAAGGCATATTAAACTACTGTTTAATACTGTTTAATAATTTTTTTAAAGTTTGAAAAGCTTCACCAGACTCCAATATGTAGGAAAAAGCAGCTGTTTGAGTGGTGAGGTGCTGGAAGAGGTTGCCCAGAGAACTTATAGATACCATCACTGGAAATGTTTAAGGCTGGATTGGATGGGGCTCTGAGCAACGTGGTGGGTGAACCAGATGGCTTTTAAAGTCCCTTGCAACACAAGCAAGTCACCTTGTTGTCACAGGAGAGGAAGAAATGGAGGAAACCCAGGGCCAACCTTTTCAAAGATAATAATCCTGCCAGGAGCTTTCTCAAGAAACCAAAGGGAAAACAATGTGGATATGATTCTTCTAAGTTTTACGGTTGTCCAAATGGCTCTGAATGGTGTCAGTAGTTCATCAATTCTCCCCTGCTGTTTATCATGAAGGCCCTTGGTTAGCTACAGAGGTCCTAGGCTGGGCTGTCTGTCAGGAAGATGGTGCTGATCTGAGGTATCCAGATCACACAGAGAAAGCTGCTTTAACCAGTACAGACTTAACTTTTTACTTACCTGAACTTTTACTTTTTACTTACCTGAATCAAAGAATCCATATGAACTGATGATTTAAGGGTTTTCATTTTGTTTTTGAACTTTTCAAATCCAAAACTTTCTGAATTCATTAGAACACTATTACTACTTAGTAGCAAAACAGCAGTAACTTTTGTTAAATTTTCATTTCAGTAACTTTGCCATTATAGGCAGTCAAAGTTAGACAAAGATATGGGACCCATATTAGTCTTATAAAATCATCTCTTAGCAATTTCACTGAAATTGCATAAAATTATTTCCAGTTCACAAATTTGTATAAAACTGAAAGTAATTTCATTTTAGAGAAAAGTCTTCTAATCCTCTGTAGCAGAATTTCAATGTAAAAATTCCCAGCAATGCAAAGTAGATCAGTAGGTGGATTTCATATCTGTCTTTTCAATCTTGTAGCTGATAAAATAATCATTACCTGTTTATATTATTGAGCAAGTCTGTGTTCATAAAGGCATTCAGTGCAAAATATTTCCTCAACAAAGACTCAAGGCTGACAATTCTTACTTATGTTACCCTCTACAGGTAAGGTGTGATTCCTGCACCTGAAGATGTTGACTAAGTAGTCATCTAGTACAAAGCTTCTTAACTGTATAGGGAAAAGAGGAAATAATAATAACCCCTCCTTGGTATCTGTCTTTATGCAAAGAAATCTAGTCCAGACGCCATTTACCTGTGTGTCTTATTACCAAGAGAAGTCCAACTGCAATCAACAGAATGACTCCAGAAATTTAAGCAAATATATCAAAGAATGCAGGAACAAAATTCAGGAAAGATGAGTTAATTGGAAATCTGAGGAGCACAGCTGGGAAGCTGTACACTGAATTCCTGAGATAAGAGTCCATTTTTTTAATTACCTATGTGCAAAAGAACAAAGTTAAATTACTTATAGGAAGTACTAAGAATGTGTCTGATCTGCTGTGTAATAAAAAACAACAGAGATGTTGGTATTTCCTAATTATTCATGCACAACTAGCAGAAAAATTCACATCTATTGATCATTAACTGAGCATTAAGCTTTCTCACATTTTGAGGATAATTAATAAAAGTAAACTGGCTTTGGTACTTGCTGTGATATACTAAATGAAACTTTGTCAACAGTTATCTGGGTAAATATGGATATTTTCATGAGCACAAGAAGTTTGCAGATTTGCTGCATCATTTGAGTGGAGTTCCTTGCAAGTATGAGAGAAAGTCTTAGATATGAGTGCAACTCCACTTTTTGGAAGAGTGTTTAAGCAGCTCAAGAAAATAAATTATTTTACTGTTCGTCTCTAAGGTCTTTGAAAGATCTTATGTAATTGTGTAAATGAGTTAAGACAGGCAATACGTAATTTACAATTTGTCCAACCTGCATGTTCTGCATAGATTGGTCATTATCTAATCATCCATGTTTCTAAGCCTAATTGTCCTTGAAGGTATCATAAGCTATTTTATTTTTACACGAATTAGCTGTTCAGGAGGAACTTGGTTGCATCTTTTACCCCATGCCAGATGTTTTCTGCAGATATGCTTTCAAGACATTGTCTACAGCAATTGTGTAGCTGTCAAAAGGAAGCTACCATTCCTGAACTCTCTTTACACATCCCTCTTCCTCATATTGATCCAGTGTAAGTCTGTTTTTATTTTGTGGGTGTTATAGGTATGTAAAATGATAATGCCTGTGCTTGTCCAGAAAAGACAAGGAACCTGTCACGACAAGAAACCAATCCCACAGTGACAGCAGCTGCTGGTGGCACAAACTACTTGGTGTATAAACTGTCATTTCCAAACAGAGGTCTGACTCAACAAAAACTTCAAAGGCTGAAAGTCACACAATGCGTTCTCCTGAATTAGCACATTAACCTGCAATTTTGAGCATATTGCATCAATATAATATTAAGACTTATAAAATCAGGTTTAGGATCCATTGTATCTCATCAGCCATACTAAGATAGAAGGGCTAATGACGGAAATGTGTCTGATTCCAAGTCAGAAAAGGCAATACAAGTAATTACTGAAAGCAAATGGATTTTCCAATTCTCTTAAATGGAATAAAAACCAAGAAATTAACCCATTTGACAATAATCATTATTTTTTTTATTTTTTTATGCTACTTTATTTTTGTATGCTATCTTCTCCTGCTGAAGGTGACTCCACCTGGCTTCAAGACAGGTGTTACCAGAAAAATTTGCAGATGTTTGATCATAGGTCAGTTTATACAACACCAAGCCTGCTAGCAACAAATAAGGTCCACCTGTCCCAAAGAATTTTATGTCAGGAATTAGCAGAGCTCATTGAGAGAGCTTTAAACTGGATTTGAAGGAGAATGGGGACATAGCCAGGCTTCACAGACATAAGATGTGGAAGGAGAGAATTATAGCAACCACCCCAGTAACAAAAGAAAGCTTAAGAGAGTGTCTCAAAGCACAAGCAGCCAAAGACATAACCACAGGACAGGACTGTGGGGGATCCCTTTGCACCCCTGCTGGGATACTGACACGATCAAATACTTCCACAAAATGTCTGTACACCAATGCTTGCAGTATGGAGGACAAACAGGAGGAACTAGAGATCTGTGTGGAGTCACAGGGCTTTGATGTCATTGCAGTTACAGATGTGGTGGGATAGCTCCCATGACTGGAATGTCATCATGAAGGGCTACACAGTGCTTAGCACAGACCAGACAGGCGCTGGGATGGAGCTGCCCTCTGTGAGGCAACACTTGGAATGTATCAAGCTCTGCCTTTGGGTGGATAGTGAGAAAGTCCAGTGTTCATGGGTTAGGATAAAAGGGCAGATTACCAGAAATGATAAGTAGGTTTTTTCCTCTCTTTTAAACTGGTTGTTTGCCTGACAAGTTGACAGTAACCCAGTGTTACCCTTGAATATCCAGGTTATTAACCATTTTCCCTTTTGGTGTTGTGAGGTCCTTTCATATTGCAGTGAAGAAATTGGTAACACAAGGAAAATGTGATTGTACTGATGCAAAACCTGACCAGGGATTCAGGATGTAATAGCTTTTTAAGCAAGGTGTGCAACTGATGTTGCATCTTAGGTTTTTATATTAAATACTTAATCACAGCATGTAATTCCATGACTTGTTTTCTTGTAAACTAGCTTTGGAGTTCAGGATGAAAAAGTTTATTGCTCTAATGATAACTTTGTAGGTTCTCATCAAAATGAAAGCTTGGTCTCATTATCCCATTGTTCTCCTTTTCTTTTTTCTCCAAGCTGCCTGTCTCGTCCTGGGTTGTATGATTTTTCCTGATGGCTGGGATTCAGATGAGGTAAAACGGATGTGTGGTGAAAAGACAGACAAGTACACGCTGGGGGCTTGTTCAGTCCGCTGGGCGTATATCCTGGCAATTATTGGAATCTTGGATGCCCTGATCCTCTCATTTCTGGCATTTGTGCTTGGAAACAGACAAGACAGCTTGCTAGCAGAGGAGCTCAAGTTGGAAAACAAAGGTAGGACTGCTTTAGAAACACTATTGTTGGATGGCCTCAAGAGCAATTGCTTAAAAATAATAATCAGTTTCAATTTCATTTTATTTTATGCTTAAAAGTTGGCATGCTGGCTTACTTCCTACATTGCTGGGAAAGAATAAATGCAAAGGGCAGAAGAAGTTTTATATTTCAGCCTCCAATAACCTAAGAAAGCTCAAAACTGATGTAATTTCTGCACTACACATGAATTATCCTTAGCTTTTAGAGCTGTGGATGGGACGTTATTGTGTTCTTCACTTGTACAGTATTTCATTAGCATTTAATTTTCACTGTCTTCATATTTTTCTGCACCCCATGCAAGATTTGTTCCCTTGGTTCCTTTAGGATCTTGCAGTGTAACATGAATGTCTGTAACATGGCATATGTGTTAGCACAGTACACAGCAAGGGGGCAGTGCTGGGGACTGGCAAGGAGCTGTGCAATGGGACTGCCCATGCAGCGAGGAATTGGTGGACCAAGGATCAGAGCCTGGAATGAAGAAGAATCCCAGTTCTAGCTTGAGTGTGCCGCTTTGAGCTCATGAGTCAGCTCACGGGAGTCTAGGATGCTGTAGTGACTGAATACTCGTGCAGTGCTTTGGGGATAAAACTCATTTCTAAATTAAATATATGAAACTGGCTTGGACCAGTAATTTGTCACACAGTGCAGGAAGAGAGATGTTTTTTAGTGGGTGTGCGCAGCCCTGGCTGATTTCTGCAGCCCCTTCCCCTTGTGCTCCCCTGGCATCGCAGCTGAGTAGCTGATGTGATAGATACCACAGAGGGCATGTCCCTGCTTTATCTTTTTAATGGGCTTGTTGTCCCTGAATCTGTCTAATCCCCTCTAAACCTGCTGATACTGTCAGCTTCTCCAGCCTTGCACGGTAGCAAGTTCCTGAAGCTCACTACTGACTGCTAAAGAAGTACTTTCTTTTATCTGTTTCAAATTGATCCCCTGCTAGTTTCACTGACTGTCCCCGAGAGCAGGATTCTACGTTCAGCTCATCTACCACCTTTGTAATTTTGTGGGCTGCTTCTAATAATAGCAAAGGTATCAGGAACTTTTCACCACTGGATTGCTGTTTGGCAGCCTGTGTTGTGTGAAAATAGCTGGCCTCAGTCCTGCTCCAGAAGCACCATTATCTGTACACCTGACAGCAGCAGTGGCCTCTGCTTGCTGGATTGCAGTCAGCACACTCAGCCCAAAGATAAATGGACTTGAAGACTGAATATCACATGTGATTCCAGACCTGGGTGAAGCCTACTAATGTGAGTTAAGGAAAGTGTGTGTTGCTTGCAATCGTGTGTGTGCATCTGTCCTGTAAATTGAGGGCATCTGCTTTAAACACTATCCCTGTGACCTTTTCCTGTAAGGATAATATTCATCTGCATTTGAAAATCAAAATACTTGTCAGAAGGGCATTCACAGCTATGCCACAAGTGCTTTTGGCATCACCACTATGCCTGATTTGTCTACACGTATAGAGCTCATGTACCCAACAACTACTTGTATCAAAGAAACGCATCTGTTTTGGCACCTTGTGAGCAAAAAACGGCTTCTGGAGCCTCATCACCTCTCACATCTCTGGCACAAACCCATGCCAGAACATTTGGTCCTCAGCATGTCAGAAAAAATCATTCAGCAGCTCAATTTCCTTGGATTAAACACAGAAACATACCACACCACTGGCTTCAAACCAAACCAGAACTCAATAAAAAGGGATCTATCCCACTCTGCCCTTCAAAATCAAGCCTAATGATCACAACTTTTTAAACTGTCCTTCAAATCAAGTGAAAAAGAGTCAACCTGGCTTCTAAAAAGGACATTCTCTCCCCTCTTGTCACAAAAAACTTCTGCTAAGCAACAACAGGGCAAGTCTAAACCCCCCGAGCCCCCCAGCATTTTCCCACCTGCAAGTGTCGCACAGCTTCAGCCCAGAGGAGACCTGGCAGAACATGGCAGTGGCATTGGTCTGTGCCCCTGTGCACTGAACATGCATGAGTGCTTTGATATTTACCCCATAAACCACAGCCCCTTTCCCCCTTCCAGAATAAGAGTGGAGAACTACTCATCAGCATTAGTTCACATGCAGAGCATGTGTGCATCTCTTGGAAATGGTCAGGATGTCAAAATTCTGCTATATGTAAATAGCACTAGCATATCTCCCATATAAACAGAAAGATAAAGAGTATGGATATAGAAAATACCACCCTCAGCTTTCCAAGCTGCTCCTACAATGTGAAGTCAAAGCCCTTATAACAAGTAACCATGAGTATTAGATACCCTCCCTCCCTTTCTTCCCCTTCCTCATCTACAGGAGATCTGCCTTCAGGCTTGTGCTGGCTTCTGCTTCTGGATTAGCAGGTATGGGTGAAGAATGACCCTTTCTCAGGGAGGAACCCCTGTGCTGCTGCTGCTGCCTTCCAATGGACAAAACCTACTTCTGGGTGGTCATGGCTGTCCATTGGGTGGGATCCCAGTGACTCCTTCCCCTTTGTGGTGCTCTTCGTCTGGATGTCCCATAACCTGTGATAAGAAAAGGATCCCCTTAAGGGACAGTCGTGGCTCCATCATGGCTTTACAGGAGAATGCAGCCAGAGAGCAATCAACGCTGTACCTGAGAAGAACCTTCATTTTCCTGTCAGCTCATCCTCTCCTGCTGGGACTTTGCCCCGTGCATGTGGGTGACACGATATATTAGCTCAGCAGTGGGTAAGACACGATAAATTAAGTATGAGAATCACAACAGTGCTCATTTATGTGGAAAAAACCTTCAAGAGCAAGAAATTAATAGGCAATGATCAGACATCTGAGCAGATGTTTTCTTAGTCAGGTAGTTTTGTCTGGAGGCTTTGATGCAGATCAGCTCCCACAGGTTCATTAATGAGAGTCTGTGGTAGCTGAGCAAGTACCTGTTGCCAGCTGTCTGAGCATTGTTGGCAAGGAAAGAGTTAAATGTATATGAAACACAACAGGATGGTAAAAATGTGAGAAGATGACTGAAAAAGAAAAAGCTGTACTTCTCTGTAGTTTTCATTACCATGCTGAATTGTCCACCTGCTCTGTGCTTTTGATGCCTACAGTTCTGTATATTTACATAGGTTAATGAATACTTGTAAGTAAGGAATTTGACTGTTAAAATTATTCATGGCAGAAGAAATGGTTTAGCTATAAATGAAAGTTTTCCTTTTTCACTACATGATAAAAATAGTGCTTGCTCATTTCTTATTTGCTTAGGTGTGAGAGCAAACTACCATGCAACTTCCATGTCTCAGAGCTCTAACTCAAATTTGACAGAGTTTCTTCAGCTTATAGTCTCTTTAGTGCAGTTTCCTAATATTACAAATTTTACACAATAATTCATAAGTTTTTAACTTTAAAACTGTCATTTGAAGGGAAAAATGGTATATATAAGAAGACTTTCCTGTTATCTTTATGCCATTAGCAAAGGGTGCAGAGAACTGTATCACATGGTTTTCTTTATTTTATGGTTTTCTTTAATTTATAGGAGCTAATGGTAATGACTTATAGGTCTGTATGCCATTTAAGTAATGTCATACAGGACACTAACAAAAATAGTCAGAATTCATCTTAGCTTTAAGCTTCCTCAACATGATTGTGAGTGAGCGATCAACATCAGGCATAAACCTTGATGTGTTGTGTAATTAAGTGATTTAACATTTTGAACTGTAATGTCTTGATGACATAAAATTTAAGTTTTGGCCAGAGGTAGACAAGACCAAATGAGACGTTTCCAAAAGAATTTGAGAACGCACAGCAACTTTGTTTATGGTAGAAATGTAGAATAGAGTATGCAGTTATGGTCTGCATTATGAGTGATAAATACAGGAGCATTCAGAAGACACTATCCTGTTTGATAGTATCAGTCAGGGCAGGTAGAAGATGCACTTTGTGAACAGTTGTGGCTTTTCCAATGGGTCACAAATAAGCAATTTGCATTAAAGATTTCCTGGAGTTACAAGCCTAGAGCTGAAACAGGTAAAGGGATCTGGGAGACAAAAAATCTGAAGGATTTATCCACCTTCCAGTGATTGTAACTCACATGGACTCAAAGTACATCCCACTGCTCCCAATAGCCACGTAACAGAGAGCTCAGTGCAGGATGCTCAACCCAGCTGGCTGACACTTTCCACCCTCCTTACTCTCCAGGCTGTTGAAGGCTGGATCCATACATCTGAGCTGCAGTCACTGCAGAATAAACACACTCAAAGACAGAAAGTAAGGGAATATTGTTATTGGTGGTAAAGCAACTTTCAGTAAAAGAAAAAAGGTAGTATTGCATGGAGATTTGCACATGTTTAGCTAAAGAATCATCTTCTCCAAACAGGAATAGCCTACATGGGATCACTGCTGAAAAAAGCCTCTTCTATAAAAAAAAAAAGTTGTATCTGAAGCTGAGTGACAGGAGCTCACCTGCCCCATGGAGGGATGATGGGGTAGAATGCTCATCAGCTGCCATCCTTCAAGAGGAAAATAGCTCAGGATGCAGTGAACATGCAAACTGCTGCGAGATTGTAAAGCTCTGCTTGTCAGTATGTAGCTTTCATGGCATGTACTAACAAATATTCAGGTCAACGTGTTCAAAATTAGATATATTATTACGAATATTGAGATCCAATTTAAGTTTTCCCAGATAGCTACAACACATAAAAAAATTATCAGCAGCTCTTGTAGTAATAGAGTACAAATGCAGACAGGACACCATATATACCCCTGTGTACCCATGTTCTTTGTCCAATATATTTATATAGTCCCTTTGTCACAAAGTTATGTACCCCCAACCCCTCCTGATAAAAAGTCAGTGTGTGGTCATTTTCATTTCAGTTAGGGTGTACATTACAATGATAAAAATACTTTCACAAATGAAAGGCAAGATTTATGTTAGTCTCTACCCAATTTCATACTGGTGCTTCTCTTCATGTTGCTAGTCCCCCTCCTTCCTTCTTTTCTAAAGAGTCCAA